GTCCCATTTTCTCCACATCTTCGCCAACATTTATTGTCCTTTACTTTTTGATCTTTGTTATTATTGCTGGTGCGAGACGATAGCATTGTGTTTTGATTTGCGTCTCTAATGGCTAATGATAGTGAAGATTTCTTCTTAACGTTTGTTGGCTGCCTGGATCTCCTCCTTGGTGAAGTGTCTCTTCATGTCCTGTGCCCATTTGTTAATTGGGTGATTTGTCCTTTTCTTGTAGAGGTGCTGTAGGTTCCTATATATTTTGGAAATTAGTCCCTTGTCTGATGTGTTGTTGCAAAAGATTTTTTCGCATTCTGTGGGCTCCCTTTTTTACTCTTTTGATTCACATAAATTTTTAATTTTTAGTATGTCCCATTGATCTGTTTTGTTTGTTTTTGTTTGTGTAAGTTTCAAAATGTTTGGTAGTCTGTGTATGCCCTGCATTAGAGCTCTCACATTTTTCCCTATTTTTTCATCGATGGCCTTTGTAATTCTGGGATTCACATTTTGGTCTTTAATCCATGCTGAGTTGGTTTTTGTATAAGACCCTAGAACCAAAATGGGAGAGGTGGTCAGGCCCTGGACTAGTATAGTGTCATAGGGAATAAAAATGAATGGCACAGATTTTTTATTAAGTTTTTTTGAGAAAAAATGTGCCAAATTTCTTCTTGTCACAAAAAGTGAAAATATTAAAATGAGTTCTTCTAAAATTCTCAGTAACCTTATTCACAAATTCTTAAATGCTACCCCTGGTTATACATCCCCTCAATGACATTAGACTGAATCAGGTGGCCTAAAACATATAAATTGCCTTTGCTCTAATTGGCCCATTAGGAATTTTCTCTGCCCAGGAAAATGGATCATGTATTATTTATCAATAAAAATCTTTTAAAAGTGCATAAGTAGATCTTAGGAGAAAACATATATTATCTTATACAAGACCAGTAGGATAGAGATCACAGTTTTTTTCCTTAGTAGTGACAAGGGACTTATTTTTCCATCTAGCAAGCCACTGCAGAACCACTTAATCTGACACCACATAGGAAGAAGCTGGCAAGGAGTTATGAGATAATTTACAGATAAAAGCAAGTCACCGGGCAGTGTGGTAGAGAATACATTTCTTTGGATTTAGAGTCTGAAGACCTTTCAAGTTTTGTCTTTTAACACATGCTACTCAGTGATTTGGAGTCCAAATGTGATGCTTTAGAATAAGCACTGGAACCCAGGGTCCATTTGAACTGCAAGGTTGGCAGTTCAAACTTACCAGCCACTCCTCTGAAACCCACCCTATACAGGGTCACTATAAGTCGGAACTGACTAGATGGCACTTAACAACAGGAAGAAGATTAGATGATCAATGTTGATCATTTGCAGTCTTTTGTAAATTGTCTGTTGATATTCTTTGGCTACTTAAAAATTTTAAAGAATGTTTACCTTTAAATGAGTTTATAAGATAAACTAAGTCTGTTTTTTACATTAAAGTCTGCATTTTCTTCTTTTAATTACAAAAGGACTACTAGAACACATGCTTATTGTAAAAAAAAAAAAAAAAGTTTATTTAAAAAAGTACAGAAATAAAGAGAATCAGACTTTGTTAACATCACCCCACTTCATCAGGAACAGTTTGGCATGTATTGTACCTAATCTCCTTTTGCATTCCTATATAAATGTATACAAGCACACATATATAAGACATAAAGAGGTAGAGTTTTGTTTTTTGTTTTTTTCCTAACTAGGAGCGTACTAAATGTGTTCTCTTGTGAATTTCACTGCTATTTTGGGGGAATTGTTTTTATATCAGTAGTCACAGTTGTCGAATGCCATCAAGTCAATTCCTACTCATATATACACTGTATAGGGTTTCCAAGGAGCAGTTGGTGGGTTTGAACCGCTGACATGATTTGCAGTCCAGTCCTCATCCTACTGTGCCACACCAGTAGTCTGTAGTCATGGAACTTCCTTATTTTTTGTATCAGTGTGTTCATACTGATATACATCTAGGTCTTTCTATTACAAATAATGCTACAATGAGTAACCTTATATGTACAGCTGTATTTCTATACCCATTACCCACTACCGTCAAGATGATTCTGATTCACAGCGACTCATAGTGACCGTATGTGTTTTTAGTTCTATAAGAATAGTTTTGTTGTTGTTGAATATCTTATGGTTGTTGTTGATGGTTGTGTGCAGTGGAGTCCATTCTGACTCATAGCGACCCCATGTAGGGTTTCCCAGGCTGTAGATTGTTACAGGAGCAGAAAGCCTCATCTTTCTCCCTTGGAGTGACTGGTAGGTTTGAACCACTGGCCTTATAGGTTGCAGCCCAACTCGTAACCCACTACTTTACCAGGGCATCTCAAATATCTTATACAAACGTGTAAATGCTTTATACTTTTAGATCTTTAATCATCTGGAATTTATGTTGATGTAAGATGTGAATGGCAGATTTCTTATTTTTTAGAACTTCATCTTATTAAATAAGAATAATAGTTCCTACCTCAAAAAAGTGTTGTAAGAATTGCATAGAATCCTAACCGACCAGAGACATGCATGGTACAGAGAAGGCTTATTTATTTCCTTAGTTTATTCTCATTTGACCAGCAAATCCAGGTAATATCTATATTATATTTATAGAGTATGTTCAGTTTTTAAATACCAATAACTGTAATCCTGATTGCCTTTGTTTTTACGTAACTGTATTTCTTAGAATGTCTAGCTATAAAACTCTGCCATCAAATGATTGCAGTTACTATGACTTGTGTCAGGAGCACTTTAGTGCTCAAAGTGACATCTTTGCTTTGAACACCTTAAAGAGGTCTTTTAGATTTGAAGACAGATTTACCCAATACAATATATTATTTGATTTCTTTACTGGGCGGATTGTGGATCCAAGTAAAATGAAATCTTGATAACTTCAATCTTTCTTCTGTTTATCTTAATGTTGTTTGTTGGTCCATTTGTGAGGAATTTGTTTTCTTTGTGTTGAGGTGTAAAACATACTGAAGACTAGCATTTGATCTTCATCAGTAAGTGCTTCAAGTTCTCTTCACCTCCAACAAGCAAGGTTGTGTCATCTGCATTCTGCTGGTTATTACTGAGTCTTCTTCCAATCCCGATGCTGTGTTCTTCATATTGTCCAGCTTCTGGAATTATTTGCTCTACATACAGATTGAATGAGGATGGTGAAAGGATATAACCTGATGTACACCTTTCCCGATTTTAAACCATGCAATATTCCCTTGAGTAGCCCTGGTAGCATAGTGGTTACAAGTCTGGCTGCTAACCTCAAGGTCAGTAGTTTGAAAATACCAGCCGTTCTGTGGGAGAACGATGAGGCTTTCTGCTCCCATAAAGATTTATAGCCTCGAAAGCCTTATGCAGGGTCACTATGAGTCAGAACCGATTTCCACAACACACCACCACCACCACCACCACCACCACCACCACCACCACCACCACGTACTTGTTCTCTTTAAACAACTGCCTCTTGGTCTGTGTACAGGTTCTGCATTAGCACAATCAAATGTTCCAAAATAGTCTTTCTATGCAATTTGTTATGATTCACACATTAGAATGCCTTTACATAGTCAGTAAAACTCAGGTAAACATCTTTTTGGTATTCTCTGCTTTCAGCCATAATATGTTTGACATCTTCATGAAAAATCCTCATCCTCATCTAAATCCAACTTGAATTTCTGGCACAGAAATTATTTTTCACTAAAGTTAGCCAGAGTTTTTTCTGTTGCTAGTACCCAAGAATTCTGATTTACTGTGTAGCCCTTCCCTCCTGTTTTAGAGGCACAAAATCCTATGTTTTTTTTGTAGTCCTTCGTAACAGTATCAAAGGATCCACACCACATTGTTAGCAATGCTTTTATCAAGTGCCTGAGATTTAGGGGCATGGAACAGGGAGTGAATAGACGTTGGTACAGAGTAGAAGAAAACTCTTGAGTTTTGCTTTAGATAACTTGTTTATTTGAATTTTATTGCAATGAATCTTTAGTAATTCAAATGCCTGAAAAAAAAAATGTATTAAGTTTGAAAAAATGGAAGCTAATACTTGTGTAATCTACTTTACATTTTTATGAAGGATTGTTGCAAAGATCATATGCAATAGGAAATGTGAAAATGTTCTGAAAATTATTAGGTACTATTTAAATATAAGGAAGTAGAAATAATAGTAACAGTGGCTTTTGAGTGTTTTGAAGGTAATTAAGAAAATAGGTGATAATAAAGTCAGGGCTCTGAATATTTGTTATTCATTGATTTGGCAGTGAAAGGAAGAATACAGATGAAATAATAATAGAGGAGACGTCCTCAACTTTTAAATTTTGAGCATGTTCTGATTTAAAAGTAGGAAATACCATGGACACCAATATAACTTTAATCTAGATTAATTATTACTATTTTGCTACATTTGCTTTATCTATCTACCTACTTGTATAAAATTTGTTTTTTTTCCTAAATCATTTGAATGGAGTTTTTAGGCATCATGACACTAAACCTTAAATACTTCAACATTCATATTTTAATAATATGCACACCATTCTCTTACATAACCATAATTGCATGTTAATACTTAACAAACAAAATCAGTTACTTCACAATATCTTTTATTTATAATGACAAAAAGAAAACACAAACATTAAGTGGATTCCAACTTTCAGAAGCAGATTGCTGGCCTTTCTGAATCCAAGTACCTCTGTGGGTTCAAACCCTTCGATAATTATTTTTTAAATGTCTTTGTTGTAGATAATAAATTTTATTTCCTCATTTCAGGGTTTAATCATACTTTATATACCAACCTATATTATATACTAGATGACTCAGTAATAGTTTTTTATCTTTAATAACATTTCTCCTGTCCTTTGCCCCCCCCCCCCCACTATTGACCTATGAAAGGTTCAAGCCAGTTGTCTTGTAAAATGTCCTATGTTCTGAATTGGTCTGAATATTTTCTCATGCTGTAACTTAATTATTTCAGATAACCTTTATCGGAAAGGATGGAGTTGGGAAAAGGAAAGCTTCTGAGGACTGGACTAAATGCATTGCATCAAGCTGTACACCCAATTCATGGTCTTGCCTGGACTGATGGCAGTCAAGTAGTGCTGACTGATTTACAGCTTCACAGCGGAGAGGTCAAGCTTGGGGACTCAAAGGTCATTGGGCAGTTTGAGCGTGTCTATGGGCTGTCTTGGGCCCCCCTTGGGACAGCTGGCACGCCCACTCTGCTTGCTGTCCAGCACAAAAAGCACGTCACTGTGTGGCAGCTATGTCCCAACACTGCGGAGATGAGCAAAAGGCTGATGTCTCAGACCTGTGACATTAGAGAGTTGCTCCCTGTCCTTCCCCAGGGCTGTGTGTGGCACCCAAAAAGTGCTGTCCTAACTGTGTTGACTGCACAGGCTGCCTCCGTTTTCCATAATGTTCACAGCGACAGCGTTCGGGTAAAAGCGGACATCGACACTCAGGGCCACATTCACTGTGCATGTTGGACCCGGGATGGCCAGAGGCTGGTGGTGGCAGTAGACAACAGCCTGCATTCTTACATTTGGGACAGTGCACTCAAGACTCTTCACAGGTGTTCTTTCTGTCCAGTGTTTGATGTGGACAGCAACGTACGTGCCATCGGAGCCACTGTGGACTCACAGATAGCTATAGCCACAGAGCTTCCACTAGATAAAATTTGTGGCTTAAATGCATCTGAAACCTTTGACGTTCTACCTAGTGACAAAGACTCTTATCTGTGTTCTTTACCAGTTAGTAGTGCAGTGCCCTCTCTAGTTAAAGGGGCAAACGCTTCTGAAATAGACTCTGAAATACCAGTTTCCCCTTTTGATTCTTCTTCCTCAGATCCTCTGGATCTAACTCACTTACGTGTCAATAGGTCTGGATCTGAGGTCAGTTCTCTTATTTGTCTCAGAAAAAAGGACAACTTGACAGGAACTGGCCAGGATTCTTCACATTTGGTCCTTGTGACTTTTGGGAAAGAGGTTACCATGACCAGAAAAGTGACCATTCCAGGCATTCTGGTTCCTGATCTAATAGCGTTTAATCTTGAAGCACAGGTAGTGGCAGTGGCTTCTAGTACCTGTAACATCATCTTGATCTATTCTGTCATTCCATCCTCTATGCCAAACATTCAGCACATTCAATTAGAGAATGATGAAAGACCCAAAGGCATCTATTTCTTGACGGATAAGCTGTTATTAATTTTGGTAGGAACACAAAAACCCGCGGATTGGGCATTTCTTTCTTCTTCCAAGTCTGACCAGTATATCATTCACTTGGTCATTAAAGAAGTAATGCTGGAAGAAGCGTCCTCAGTGGCTTCAAATGAAAGCCAGAGCAGCCACGCCACATTCAGTGCTTTATTAACTAAAGCACACAGAAGAAAACAAATTGAAAGTCTTCAACCAGATTTTTGCCACCAAAACAGAGAGCTCTTGTTACCATCCAGTATCAGTTATCAAAGCGCAAGTACTGGAAGGACCCTTATTAAAGAAATCAAAAGTCATCCTTCCAGTATCTGTGAGTGCACCCTAGCCCTAGAAACTCTCAATGCAGAACCTGTTAACCGGTCAGTAACAAAAGCCAGACCCAGCAGCCCAGCAGAGTCCTCACCAGTGCAGTTTGACAATTCACCGGTGCCTCCTAATTTGCCTCAGAGAAAGAATTTACAAACGCAAAAGGAAGCTTGCAAGATAGGTAAGAAACTGGAAGTCCTGTCTAGTCATCTGACTGAAATGCAGCGATGTCTTTCTGAACTCACGAACTGCCTGCACAGTGAAAAGTCCCCTCCAGGATATCCACTCTCTCGGGACCCCCCTTATGTTCACATCATTTATCAGGTAACTTCTCCTTTGACTAGTTGCCACTGGTCATGCTGCCTGTGGGTACTACAAGAAAAATGTATTGATGAGGAAGATGGTGCTCTAATTGAACGTCACTGAACTGGGTGTGTGTGTGCTACAGGCAAGTTATTACACCTTTACTGGTTGGTTGGATGTTGGCAGCTGCTAGCACATCTTACTGTGTATTTTCGTTTTCGCTGTTTGTCACACAACAGATAGGATACTATATGTAGTGTTCTACACATCTCTTTTTTTTCAGTTAACAGTGTATCCTGGTGAGCTCACCATATCAAAAACAGAGCTCTTTTCTCATTTTTTTCCACAGTTAAATGATGTTCCCCCCCATTTACAAAAGTGTAATATATGTTAAGTGCTGAAAGTAAAAATTCTCTATAATTCAATTGTTAGAGAAGGCTATAACATATATTAAAGGAGCTCTGGTAGCGTAGTGGTTACGAATTGGGCTGCTGATCTCAAGGTCAGCAGTTGAAAACTACCAGCGGTTCCACGGGAGAATGATGAGGTTTTGTGCTCCCATAAAGATTTACAGCCTCGGAAACCCCCTCCAGGATTGCTGAGTTAGGACTGACCCCACAGCACATAACCACTATAACATAATCAGCAACAAAAATCCTAAATCTCATTGCTGTTGAGTCAGTTCTGACTCATAGAGACCCTCTAGGACAAAGTGAAACTACTCCCCAGGGTTTCTGAGACTAAATCTTTACAGGAGCAAACCTCATATAGGAGCAACTGGTGGATTTGAACTGCTGACTTTGTGGTTAGCAGCTCAACATGCAATCCACTACACTACAGGGCTCTTTAAAGACTATATATAGTATATAACCAAAAGAGAAAATTCTAAACCCACTGCCACTGAATCGATTCCAACTCAGAGACCCTTAGAACAATAGAATTGCTCCCTAGGATTTATAAAATTGTAAATCTTTACAGAAGCAGGCAGCCTCATTTTTCTCTTGTGGAACTGCTGATGGGTTTGAACCACCGACCTTGTGGTTAGCATCCCAAAGCTTAACTCACTGCACCATCAGGGCTTCTTATAGTATATTGTTGTGAAGTGCCGTCGAATTGATCTTGACTCATAGTGACCCTGTATACAGTTTCTGAGGACAGCTTGTGGGTTTGAACTGCCGACCTTGTGATTCACAGTCCAGTGCTGGTCCTACAGCGTCATACCAGGTGTCTTCCCCTATAGTATATGTTGTTGTTGTTGTTAAGTCCGTTGAGTCGGTTCCAACCCATAGCGACCCTTTATAGGGTTTCCAAGGAGGACCTGTTGAGTTTGAGCCACTGACTTTGCGGTTCAAACTGACTTTGCAGTCCAGCCCATTAACCTACAGCGCCACACCAGGACTCCTCCTTATAGTATATAGTTAGGTGTAAATGCTTCCAATTTTTCCCTCTGGGGTGTTTGATTTATTTTTCACTGTCTTTATTGAGATATAATCTACCCATTAAAAGTGTATAATTACCCCCCTCCACTCCAAAAAAAAAAACGGAATGGAAGCAAATACTGTTGACTCATGATGCACAGAGGAGACTGTAATCATTGCAATGAAATGATGGTGTAAAGCTGATGTTCTCCCATGGGAACTTTCACACACACACAAAAAGTGTACATTCAGTGGTGTTTAATATTTTCACAGATATGTGTGGCCATCACCACAGTCAGTTTGGAACATTTTCATCGCCTCAAAAAGAAACCCTGTATCCTTTAGTTTTGGCTCCCTCATACTGTTGTCTTTATCACCCTAGACAATCATGAATTTGCTTTCTGGTTTTCCCTGTTGTGAACAGGTCAGATTTATGGAATCATATATATGTGATCTTTGGTCTCTGACCAAAGGTCTTTGATTTGTTGTTATGTGCTGCTGAGTTAGTTCCAACTCAGAGCAACCCTGTAGATGGTTTCTGAGAGTGGCTGCTGGGTTTGAACTATTGACCTTGCAGGTAGCAGTATGATCGTTATCTTACAGTGACACACCAGGACTCAGTGGCATCATACAGTGTGTGATCTTTGGTATTGGCTTCTTTCACTTAGCATAATACCTTCAATACGTTAGTAGTTCTTTCCTTTTGATGGCTGCATAATATTCCATTGCATGGCTCAACCTCATCTAGTTTATCCATTTGTCAGTTGATAGACATCTTGATTCTCTCCAACTTTTGGCTATTATGAATAATGCTATTAGAAATCCATACTTTTTCCTATGCTTTCACTAATTGTTTTTGTTAATCCCAAAGGTGGAATATATCATCTAATTGTTTAACTTTTTTGTTTTTAACAGATAATTTTATCAACCAATAATACAAATTTGAATTTTTAAACCATTTGAACAGGTGAAATTCAATGTTTTTAAAACTGATGTTCTTTCTTATCTTTTCATTTCTTCATTTTCTGTTTTATAATCAAGTAGCCCAGACAAGATGTTGTCAGTAGTTCTATGTGGAGAGAGTATTTTTTACTTGTTTAATATTATGTATGTTTTTCATTTGGAATGAGAAAAAAAGAAAAAAATCAAAAGCAAGGAAGATTTCCCCCTCTAATTTCAGAAGTCACATTTCTTCAGAAATCAAATAAATCAATTAGTTGTTTGTGATTTTTTTAGGTTTTTTTTTTAATTAAAAAGTTTTTATTGTGAATTGAGTGAAAGGTTACAGGGCACATCATCAGTTTTACATTCAACAAATCATATACTTTGTTTCATTACAATGATTATAATACCCTCCATGTACCATCAGTTAACAGTATTTCTCTCTATTTATTTTAGCTCTTTTTTTTAACACTCAGGCATGTATACTAATTTACACCACCAAAGGGCACATTCTGCAAGTCGGCCTCCTGGCTGCCAGCTCTGAGTCCCTCT